ATAACCTTCACACGTACTGAAGTTCAGTGGAGCTCTACAGAGTTTGGACTTATCCAGCTGCGTCTGCCTTAGGTCTGGCTCCTGTGCTCTGCTTCTTCCCGCTGGGGACCAGGGCTAGTACTGGGTCTGGGCGTTCCCGGAACTCAGCAGAAATTCCTACTGGGGTGGAGGGGTGGGGAAGTACGGTGGAGTGGTGGGGGGCGACCCGAGGGTGTGGGAGAGTGTCCGGCCCACGCTGCGCCTGGGCTGGGACTGGTCCCGCCGGTGCAGGTTAGCAGGACCGACATAGCAGGACCGACATAGCATCTTAAACATTTGATTTCCCTACTATAAGTACCATGAGAGCAGATATAACTCTCTTGTTTAGTGCTATTTATTCATTTCCTAGTAGGGTTCAGATAGAATGTTTAATGAATCTTTACTTTATGAATGAATGAAACACTCAGTGGGTGCATTTATTTCCCTTTCCTGTTTTCTTTTGTAGTGCCCGAAAGGCAGTGGATGAGGAAGAGGAAGCGGTTGAAGAACGTCGGAATATGGGAACAATTTGGGTGTCTGGAAGAAAAGGTTTAACTCCAAGAGAAGCAGCAGTCTTGATAGTGGAAGAAGCCAAAATGATTCTGCAGCAGGACTTAGTTGAAATGGGGGTGCAGTGGGATCCTTCTTCCTCATTAATTGCTGGTACAGCCAGGAGTGAGTCAGAGGAAAAAGAACTAACATTTGTACTCCAGACTACAGATAGTCACAAACAGTTAATACCAAAGAACAAAAGTACTACAAGATTTAGTGACACTAACATTAATAATTTGCCAAATATAGTAAAAAATTTAGATAAAAGCAGAGCACATACAAGTTCCTTTCACTGTGCAACCCAGAATAGAAATCAGGAACCTAGGAAAGATTGCATTTTCAGAGGAAGAAAATGGGCTTCTTTGGGCATAAAAAAAGAGAAGTCCAGAAACTTTCTGAATCAGGGAAAAAAGAGCATTACAAAGGTTGGTCAGACCTCAGTAGAGAAAACGAAAAAAGCAGCTTTGAATTTCGGTTCAGACAAGATGAGCTCAAGTTTTTCACATTGGAAACATAGAAAGCAACAAAAGCAATCCCAGGACAGTAGTCCTATGAAAGACTCTGGGAAGAAAGGCTCTATGTCTAGTCCTGCTCTTGAAAACCCATTTAAGTTTGATGAAAAGAATGTGGAATTTAGAAGCCCAGAGCCCTTTGTCAAAAATGTATCTTGTACTGAGGGAAAAAACAACAGATCATCCTTTCTTTTACAAAAAGAGCAACACTGTTTAAGGAATAGAATGATAACTAATGATTCTGCTGTGGAGCATTTATTCACAGGATCCCTGAGAGAAAATATGGTTTGTCAGGCCACTACTGTAGCTAGTAAAAATGGAAGTGGATTAGCTATCACTGAGACAGAAAAACTAAATGAAGTGGCAATACAAAATGATTCAAAAAAACAGACTTTTCCAGTGAAACACCATAATACTCATCCAGCGAACCAGTGGCTGGAAAAACAATGTGATAAACAGCCAGAAACTTACACTGCACAGAAAAAAATAATAGAGGGAAAAATGCCCTTTGAGGTAGTCAGTAGCTGTATGCATAGAGATGCAAATGTTGCTACTATGAAATGTGAAAGTGTAAAGTCTAATAGTAAAGAAAATAAATCTGACTATTCTCAAGCATTGGGAAATAATAAAAGAACTGAGGTACCTAGTGGAATACTTAAGTCAGAGGGAGTATTTGGGAAATCAGGAGGTCAACAGGAAAATTTTCTGAATTCTTACAGAATTCAAGAAAATACATCAAACAAAAATGAAAATAATCATGCTTCCAACTTAGGTTTAGTACTGTGCAATTTCGAAGATAGTTTCTGCCTAGATACTCAGTCAGAGAAAATAATTCAACAGATGGCAACTGAAAACACAAAACAAGGAGCAAAGAGCACAAGATTGACAGCAACAAATATGCAGAAGAGCTCAGACAAACAGAACTCACTGGGTTCTTTTCAGGAGTCTCCCTTCACTTCCAGTGAGCAGCATCTTCCAGGAGTGACTAGTACAGCTCTTATAGACCTTAAGACTATAGTCAGTGAGAAGCAAAGCACCAAACCTGGAAATGATAGTCCAACTCCAGAAAGCCCAATTTTTAGTTCCCCAATACTGATAGAGGAGAATGGCCCTTGTTTTAAAGGATATGAAATTTCTGTTACTGACTCACAATTAAACAGTTTTCTTCAAGGTTATCAAACACCTGTGCCTGTGAAGTCAGTTCTACCTGTGGTGCCACCAAAGAGGACTCCCACTGGTATGGAAGGAGACTGTCTTCCAGGTCCTGAAACAAGTTTGAATATGAGTGACAGTTTACTCTTTGACAGTTTCAGCGAAGACTTCCTGGTAAAAGATAGACAAGTGAAAGTACTCCTTCCTTCTGAAATAACATCAAACCTTGTCAGTGATCCTCTGTGTCTGCAGCAAGGGGATCCAGCTAAAACATCAAATATGGATAAATATCAAAGTATTCAGCAGCAGTTAACTTGTCCCAATAATGAATCTATTATGTTTTCAGAAATGGATTCTGCTCAGATAGTTGAAGCTATGGACAATGTCAATATAGTTTCTGTCCAAGAGAAATGTAATACTGAAGTATCTTTTAGAGCATTAGAGCTAAGTGATTCAGTGATTAAAGATAATGGTCACCCCCAAGGAGAAGAAATTGGAGAAGATCAAGATGAAATGGCTCAAAAATCCAGATTAGCTGAGACAAGGCAAAATAATTCATTCATATGGCCAGGGGCATCCTTTGATTTAAGTCCAGGATTGCAACAGATTTTAGATAAAGTTTCCAGTCCTCTAGAAAATGGAAAACCAAAATTAATGACTATAAATATGCCTAATTTGAAAGGAGAAAGTATTGAATTAAATGAGAAACAGGAAATGATTTCAAATTCAGAGACATATCAACTGCAGGGAATTTCACTTTCCTGTAATAATGGAGTAAAAAGCAAGATTGATGCCCTGGAGAACAAGGCCAGTCATGGTGAACTCTCATCTCTCTTGCCTTGTAAAGAAAACTCTGTCACTGATGCGAATGGTCTCATTCCTCCAACACCCATTCCAGTGTCTGCTTCTAAGCCAGTCTTTCAAGAGATTCTTGGAACTTCTGTAAAACTTTGCACAAGTAGTGCTTTACAGCTTGGTAAAGGGTGTTCATTTGGCTCACCTTCAGATATGAAAACCCTTGGCTTAAATCCAGAGAGTAGGAATGGTTTCCAAGACGATAGTCCTATTAAAGATGCAAGTTTTTCACTCCAGTTGTCGCAGGATGCCTTGCAGTTAACTCCAGTCTCATGCAGTTCAGAAAGTTTGGCTATAATTGATGTAGCAAGTGACAAGTCTCTCTTCCAGACATTCATTAAGGAGTGGCAGTGTAAAAAACGGTTTTCCATCTCCTTGGCCTGTGAAAAGATACGGAGTTTGACATCTTCCAAAATGACTATTGGTGGAAAGTTTAAACAAGGTAAAAATTCTATTTTTTTTGGCAGAACCAGGAATTGAACTCAGGCCCTTGTGCTTGCCAGGGAAGCACTTATTCCTCTGAGCCATCTACCTAGCCCCTAAAAATTCTTCAAAATTTTATTTTTTCACATTATAAACTAGTGGACTGAGATGAGATTTTGCTTTTTTAGTATTGAATATTAGATACAATCCTATTAAAAATGGCTTTATTTGGTCTAGCTAGATTCTAATATTTTCCAGTATCAGAGGTGATATACTATATTAGTTGGAATGCCAATTTATAAAAATTAAGATAATTTTCAATATTATAGCTGAGGGTCTATTATTTTAGATAAAATGAAAATTAAGGTAATTATGAATATTATCAAGTATTTCTTATACCTAGATGTTGTGCTAATGTGACGTGATTTTTATTGATCATCACTATTTCTTATACTTAGATGTCCTTATGTGACATGATTTTTATTGATCACCAGTGTTCATGAGTTATTTCCTAATTTACTTTTATAACCACAAAGGCACATAGCAGATAGGCATTATATTGTTTTAGAGTGTACATTAAGTACATTTTTCAAAATTTATCTGAAGTAAAACTTAGACCTCTAGTGAATAGTCATGAATGAATTCCAAACCGAAGTGTTGATTCTAAAGTCTAAACAAAGCTTTTGCCATGTGGCCCTTTTGCCATATTATTCTGGTCTAACTTCATGAGCCCTGGGTTCTGGATTGTGGAGAGTAGTCATAGTAAGCTTCATAAAACCATTGTGGAAATCACGTTTGATTTGATTTCTTAAATATCCATATTTACAAATGAGTACTTTTCTAAAGTTGTATTTGATCTTCAGTTCATAGAACATACCAGTTGATGAGGTGTTATATATTTTTAGTGTTCACTAGCATTTTCCATTTTTTATCCCTCACATAATATTGAGCACATTTTTAGTTAACAGTATATTTGCTAGAGACTACAGGGGCTAAAATATTGAAATTTAACAAATTTGTATTGAGTTCTTATACACTAGTTAATTTTTGGGTAGTGAGGATATATTTATAAATGAAACAGATTGGTTATTGACCTCTGTAAAAATGGGATCTATTATTTTAGATAAAATGAAAATTAAGGTAATTTTGAATATTATCAAGTATTTCTTAGATGTTATGCTAATGTGACATAATTTTCATTGATCACCAGTGTTCATGAATTATTTCCTATTAGCTTATAATATTCTTATTTACTTATATAGCCACAAAAGTACATAGCAAAAGGTACATATTTTATAAAAAATAATAGATATTAAATCATAGTTCTTCATTAAAGAGTAGAATTGCTGAATATACTATAGTCCTCTTGATTTTTTTCTGTTTTTTTTTTCTTTTAGACAGCCTAAACTCACTCTGTAGTTTAGGCTGGCCTTGAGTTCATTATATAGCTCAGGCTGGCCTCGAACTCATATTAATGTTCTTATCTCAACCTTCCCCAAGTGTAGAGATTGCACATGTGCACCACCATGCCTGGATGTCCTCTTTATTTATGTTTGAGTTATAGAAACTTTTATGGATCTACTTTAAGAAATGTTTAGTAGTTTTTTATGGTGACAGATATCTTGCTTGATAGGAGCCTAGAAAGATCTCATATACATCAAATAGCTATTAATGCATATTTTAAGATCTGCAATTTTATCAAGTATAGTTTTTTATCATTGTTTTAATAATTTGTTTAATGTCTTAAAGAATTTTTTTTTTAGTGTTTTGACTATTTCACTTTTGGTTTACTTAGCTAGCTTATATCAGGAAAGCCCAGCTGGAGATGATAGATTTTTTGTTCAAGGCTCGGATGACACACTGGTGGTTGGACTGGCAGTGTGCTGGGGTGGAAGAGATGCTTATTATGTTTCACTGCAGAAGGAGCAGCAGCATTCTGGTAAGGAATCAGAATCTGGCCAAGAAACTGTGTAATTAATGAGACATCTGTTAGGATAGTAATTCTGTTTGTTGATAATAATGCCCTGACACAACTCAGGATTTATTTGGAAAATTAAAAACTATAGATATTTGCATAGCAGTTAGTGTGTACATGATTTTCAGGGCTTGAGCCCAGTGTACTGTACCACTTGCCTATACTCCTAGACCAGTGAGTGTTTTAAGAAGTACTTCCTTTGCTGTCTCCCTCCTTGTCCCATATGCAGCTGTCAGCAGTCCACCAATGGTTATTTTTTTTCAGTCTTCTCTTTGCCTGTGTCTGAGTCTCATCCAGAGACAGTGTTACTGAATCACATAGGCTTTGGTGGAGCCTTTGGAGTTGAAAGCATGAGATGTAGAAATACCCTGTGGTCTGTTATCACTGGTAGACACTCAGCTGTTTGCTTGGTTTTGGACAAGAGCAAAACTAATAAGGTTTTCATATAGAATCTGTTCCTCAGTAAGGATGAAGTATTTTCAGTTGTTTGGTAGGAAAGTTTGTTGGGCCCCCTAGTTGCTTGAACTTTTACTTTACTCTTTGATAGGAAAATCACGTCAGTGCCAAGCATGGTAGCACATGCCTGTAATCCCAGCATTAGGAAGGCTGAGGTAGCAGAATCACTGTGAGTTTAAGGCAAGCCTCAGCCTGCACTACATAGCAAGACCTTGTCTCAAAACAAAACAAAATAATAATAAAATTAACTTGAAAATACCTGTCTGTAACTCCTTTCTGAAAAATGCGATTCTATTTTTGAAGTCTTGATGTTTTAGAATTTCTCTCTGATGTCACGAAATACAGCCTTATAAAACTTGTAGCCCAAACCTAATATTTAGATTAGAAGGCACTTCATCTAGATAGTCAGTATGACCTAGACAAGGTTTTGCCTGATTAGTGGTCCCTTGGCACTGGACCCTTAGACTCTGAGTTTTTTTTTTTTCTTAAGAGTTTTGTTTCAAATGAACTGTGTAACTTTTGCTTTAAGGCTTTTTTTTTTTTTCCCCAAGAAATTAGTGCTAGTTTGGCCCCACCTCCTCTGGATCCAACCCTGACTGTGAGAGAAAGGATGAGACACCTTCAATCCTGCTTGCAAAAGGAATCTGATAAAGACCGTTCTGTTATCATCTATGATTTCATCCAGAGCTACAAAATTCTTCTTCAGTCCTGTGGCATCTCCGTAGAGCAAAGTTATGAAGACCCTAAGGTTCTATATCTTACTTAATTTTTATGAACTTCAGTATTGTTAGAGGGGCCAGGAAGATAGCTCACACAGCATCCTGAGTTCAATTCCCGGCACCGAAAAAAAAAAATTGTTAGAGCTTAGGTTAATTTTTAAATTACTTGGTATTTATTTAGCTTAAATAGTGCAATTTAAATCATTTAAAGAAGTCATGTCTTTATCCAATAATCTCATCCACCTGGAATATATTATGTACCAAAAATCTCTGTGTAGATAAAAACAGAGTTGTCACAAATTCGAAACCCTGAGGCTCATGTCTTTTCTTAGAGATTTTATTTTAAAAATTAATTTTGAGGGCCAGGAATATAGCTCAGTGGCATAGTGCCTGCCTGGCAAGCACAAGGTCCTGAGTTCAATTCTTGGTACAAAAAATTAATTTTAATAATTAAATAAATTAGGTATTTTTTTGAAAATGTATTTAGGGCATAGGCTACAGGGTCTCACTATGTAGATTGGACTTGTAGTGATCCTTCTGTTTTCAACCTCTCAAGTATTAAGATTACAGGTGCGTGCTACCATGCAGTCTCAATGCCATCTCAGCGCACCCAGGGGCGGGGATGGCACAGCATGCCGGGGATTGAACCTCGACTGTTGCGCTCTGCCTAAGCAGGTGCTTTAGTCTGTTGAGCTATCAGGCCAACCCTAAATGATAAGTTTTTATTCCACAGAACCATTCAATTTAGGTGTGTGGTAGGATTTTCCAAATGTCTACGAGAATGGAGACTAAGAGTAGAAAAGTTTCATGACTACATGTCAAAAGGGTTATACTTAGGGGACACAGAGGCACATTATGATACTAGTCACTGAGAATGTTCCTGTGTCACAGCAAAGTATGATACACACTTCATAATCATAGCTCTGAGTTAATAAAGGTAGAGTGATGTTACATAATATACATTTAACACTATAATGCATTTCAGAAGACCTTTATTTATAATATAATCTTTAAAAGTATATAATTTTTTCCACCTTTTGACAATAAATATATTAGACAGAGTATTCATTTAGAATTGAAAAAGTACAGTTTGATACTTGTTATCAATACTGTATTATCAATAGGATGATCTTTTAGAGTGTCTGTTTTCTTTCTTCCTTTTCTTCATGTAGAACTGGGGATTATGCCTAAACCTGGGATCTTATGCATGCTAGACAGCATGCTCAGCCACAGTCTCTTTTTTTATTTCTTTTTTTTTGGCAAATATTTTAAGCTGACTTCTACTAGATATAAAACATTATCACTTAATTTTGGAGTCTAAAACAAGAACTTCTGAGCTTCTCTCATTAAAACCATAGTAACATCCTAGATTTATATAGCATCTTCTTAAATTACTTGAAATATTTGGTTTTATTAATCCTACTTTTGGTATAAGAACATTATTTTAAAAATCTCATTGTTATAATTAGTCAACTTTAATATTAGACTCTCATTCAAAAGACCACATAACACTTCATAATTAGCCTACAAAAGAAGTAATTGAGTTATATATTAGTTTTCATAAACATTAGGAAATCTCAGATTTCTGTATTATAAATGTAGTTCATGTTCTATTTTGTCTACTATTAGAAGCTAGAGGGCTCCTAGTTTCAAGGGGAAGCTAAAAATAGCAATCAGGTAACCCACTGAACAATCCTGGTGACAAACTCCTATCCTGAAGAGAAAATACAGTCTTTCTGAAAACCTGGATGTGAACTTTTAATTTATGCTTTACTTCTGCTGTTGAAAGATTTATGTAAACCTAAAACCACACAGGCCCATCTTTATTATAGTTGCTTAGGCCAGATCAGCCTAAGCCTCTTTTTTATTCTCAGACACAGGGTTTCAGTTGGGAGACACTGGCTTTTATGCTTTCAGAGGTGGGCTATCCAGCAGTATGTCAGTGATGGAAAGGTGAAGCCTTCTGCTCTTATTGATACCAAGTTATGTCCTGCTATGCTTTCCTTCTTTTTTCCCAGGAAAACCACTTAATAAGTGAAATGAGTGATATAAATAAATTTTTATCCAAAGGTCTTAGAAAACATCAAGAAAATATTTTGATTGCTATCCCATTCAGATGGCATGCTGGTTATTAGATCCAGATTCCATGGAACCAACTCTGCACAGTATAGTCACCAGTTACTTTCCACATGATCTTCTGCTCCTAGAAGGCCTGGAGACTGGACCCGGCATTCAAAGCCTGGGCCTGAATGTGAGCACCGAGCATTCAGGGCGGTACAAAGCATCTGTAGAGTCCATTCTAGTCTTCAACTGTATGAACCATCTCAAGTCTTTGTTGCAGAAGGAAAACCTTCAAGGTAAAACAAAGTTCCTGGCATTTTTTTGATGCCAACAGGTAATAGTCTTTATCACAGACAGGTAAATTGCACGTTGTTAACCATACCTTTGGATTGTCTAGTGCAGTGATCAGCCAAATTTTCTTTGTAAAAGGCCAGAGTACTCATTTCTGACTTATGGACCAGGCAGTCTCTATCATAGATTCTCCACTCTGACATCGTAGCACCACAACAGCCACAGACCTTACTGAAACAAATGGCTGTGTCTCTCCTAGTAATTTATTAAAACTATGTATCTGATGCTAGATTGGACATGATTTCTGACCTCTAGCCTTGTCATAAGGAAGAGAATTAGTAGCATTTTATTTGTTTCCAACTATATAGTTGAGATTTATCAGTGATTTTTTTTTGTGTGTGTTTGCTTAGAAGACATCACTTTTTAGAGCTGTCAACAATACTTTCTTCACCAAAGGATATTCCTGTGGTTTTCTTCTTGCCTCATGACTAATAACATAAATTTGTTGAGAAGCCTTCTGGCCCAGAAAGAGTATTTTGATTTTATAAATGCTATGGCAAAGAATGAAAGCAGCCAGGCTAGTTGGTGTCATATATATATAATTCGAGAACTGTGAGAGGCCGCGGCAGGAAAATCATAAATTTGAGCCCAGTCTGGACCATTTAACAACTTAGTAAGACCTCATGTTAAAATAAAAAAATAAAATTTAAAGAGTCCTTTTTAGATGGACTCTAAGATGTAGCCCTGTGTAAATACCTTGTATTTATTCCCCAGTAAGCCCCTACCCCAAATACACGTGTGCTTGGCAGTGAAGGAGAATAAGGTTGGCTTTACTGTGAGGAGGTTATACCATGAATTTATTGACAGGTTGATTGGTAGATTGTAGAATCCTCAGATTGATGCGTTCACACAAACCAAGATTTGGATCTGGGCTGTCTTACTATCTCAGGGACTTTGTACAAGCTGCTAAACTCTCTAAGTCTGGTTCTTTGAAAGTTGTTACAAATATTAAATGAAACATGTTGAAGGGCTTATCATATCGATTATTATTATGATTATTTTTACCTATACCACAAACTTCCTGGCCAGTACTAGTGTTCTTTCCACTGTGGGGTGAGGTAGTAAAAACCAGACTGACTTACGTTTATAGGAGGCATTGTGCTGATGTGGTCCTCGTCAGCTGCTACTGGAGTCACTGCAGTACCTCACCTCCACCTTCTCTTGTGCCAGTGTTGGCCGACAGGGGTGGGGCACCGCCTGCCTGCTGCAGGATGCACCTCATTTCCCTTCCACCTTAGGCGGGTCCCCAGCAGAGTGTCTGTGCATGTCCCAGATGCCAACTGCTGAACGTGTTGATAGGAATCAGTCTGTACCTTTTAATGGGTGTTTGTTACCCTTATCCAATAAGCTTTATAAAGACTAATCCAAGCTTAAAGACAGGTTTTTAATCTATTAAAAAAACAGGGATTATAGTTTTCATTTCCAGAAACATACAAGAAAATCTCTAGATTTCTTATTTGTAACTTTCATAATTTTAGTGTGCCTCAAAGTACCATCTTTTTGCAAACTTACAAATGGATGACTAGGAGATGTTCAGTGCATTTTCACCCAGTGTTAATGTGCTCATTACTGTACAATCTATAGAATTGAAGTACACTGATTGAAAGATTTTTGCAAAGAATGTGGAAAGCCATTAATTTTTTTATGAGCAGAATATATTTATTGAGAGAAAGAAAGCTCCTGTCTAAGAGAGGGACAGGAGGGGAGGCCCGAGCAGGTAGTTCCCCCCAGAATTTGAGGCAGGTCTAAGGTGGTGGAGAAGACATGGGAACTTTCTTAGTTGGGCATGAGGTGGGACAAAACTATGGTCAACCAATGAGATTACAAGCACCATTGCTCAGGTAAAATTGAACAATTATGAGCAATGGGCAAAGACATATTAACATTTGAAACATAAATTTGTTACCTAAGCAAGTCCCAATTCAGAATTTATGAAAAAAAAGCAAACTCATGCCTCCGTCCAATGAACGAACGGAGGTTATGAGCAGAATATATTTATTGAGAGAAAGAAAGCTCCTGTCTGAGAGAGGGACAGGAGGGGGGGCCTGAGCGGGTAGTTCCCCCAAAAAACTATTAAATTTTGTTTTGAAATAATTATTTCAGAATTTGCTTGTTTACTATAATGGATCTCTAGATTTTTTTCTCTTCATGCTCTTGCCTTGTGGATAGTGATGTTGTGTGAGCTGACTTTCTAGCAAGCTGTGGTTTTTTGGGTGTGAATACATATTAAAAAAATAATGTCTTTGTTTAATGTGACCTAGGACAAAATGTGTTCATATGGATCAGTTAGGTCCTACCATTTGAA